CATCGGAATCGCAACAGACTGTAAGCAAGTCTAGGGGCGGTTCATTAAATCTGTCGGGTGGCATATATTTCCGTGCAGAAAAAAAATGGGCCCACGTCAACATAAATGGTTTCAATGAATAAATGGTTTCAATGAGTGGTTAAAAGATTTGTAAATGGTACGGAAGGGTTCTTGAAAAAGTATCAGAATATTGTTGGGAGTGGAACCGGCCGCGAAAAGCGTTCCGCGATTGTTTCGGCCAAACTACTGAGATAGACTCTAGAGGGCGCTCGTCAATGTGTAATACGTCCCACGTATTGCGACGAGGCGTGTCTCTTTGTCGATTACCACCAAATCCTGACATACCGTTACCAAGGCGTTACTAGGAATGCGAAATGCGTCCTTTCTTCGTCGCAACAATTAAATCACGTAACACAGGTACATAATCACGTTGACCACGTGACATCGTGGCAACAATAACTATTCTGGTCGACAGGTGTAAACCAAGTACTAGTACTCGTATCCCGTCTCTATCGCGTCAGTGGCATAAAGCACCCATAAACGTAGCAGTGAATATGGATAGCACATTGTCATCGGACCGTGAAAGGCAGTGGGAAACGTACCGTACAATCAAAGAAGTACATGAAAACAGTCGCGGAGTATTTCCTAAAGCCAGGGAACCGGGGAAAATGGGAAATGCCCCGTTTGTGTTCGACGGGGAGTCGTTGACGCTTTACTCGTCGGATTTCGCCCCCAAGTCAGTGAAACCAATTGAACAGCGTCCTTGTTCTGTAACAAGAAGAAATAATCCTCATCCATCACAAGTAAGAAACATTTTTCCTCCCACATCACTCATCAATTATTCAAATTATTGAAAGTGTCAACAACAGTCATCGGTCACGGCTAGGACCGTACGCTCAAGTTGCGTGCCTTTGGCGAAATTAACAACGCGCTGGTGCTTCGTCGGGCTGTCATTTTAACAGAACCTGTATCGGTATCGTTATCTTTGTAATAATGCCTTAATAATCGATATCGTCAATGTACCACGTATACCACACATAAATATGAATAAACGTCAAATTTCAAGTTGTCAGGAAAATTATATTGGAAAGAAGTAATAATCGACTGGGTTACGACACGATAATTACATAACAGTCACGAAAATACAAATGTATTGTTCTAGTTGTAAGGTTGCTATAACAGCTTTAAAGACTCTGGTGACTTTATTGGCTAAGTCATTAAAATACACAATGAAATATACATATCAGTACGAGCGAGTCTCGTTGCCCGTGTCTTGTCCCTTTCCAATTAATGTGATACAAACTTTATGTTCCAGGCGGACGCCGTTATTGTAATGATTCACGGCATGCACCCACCATGGTAAAGCACGGTGCTAATTTCAAAATTTGTTGATAATATTAATATAATTTAGATGTAATTGTTCCTAACTGTTCTGTTCCGGGTCATATGTTCACCTCATAATGTTAGTTTGGTGTATGCATATTTTAAGTACTGTCACGTGTTCTACTTTCGAGTTTTTATGTTGCATATTTATAAATTCTGTATTCAACTGTTTAGGGTCATTGGTTTTATTCATAACTGAAATAGTGCAAAAATAATGTTTATATTTTATTTCAATTTAATTTACAAATATTCACACGATTCATCCAATTTCCCATGTTGCTGTTCTATCCTCTCTGTTCCCGAATAACAAAATAAACGAGGTTTTCGATGCGTTGCACCGTGACGCGACGTTGAAGGCAGCGACGAGATTTGTCATATTATCTCCATGTTATTCACGGTATACGACCTCGTACCATAGATATTGTTTGCATTTTATCGGATCGCCTTACTGAAAAACAATTGTTGACCAAACCTGACGCATATCAAGTTTTAGGTAGTTAGTGGACAAACACTGGAACAGTCTTATTGTACTGTACAAAACACCTCCATAGTGTCGGACAGGAGTTAGTTTATTTCAACCCGGAGATTCTATGTAAAGAAAGAATAAAGAAAACCGTATTACAGTGATATTTCTACTCCACGAAATAAAACTTTTTTTCTGCAACGATAGTCGATTGACCAAATTTATCAACTTTTGTACTTAGTAAATTCCAAATTCAGCACAACCTTTGACACTGTTATTACTACACTACACCAACACTGACGAACATAGTAAACATTGTTTGGGCCGATACTTATGGTTTAAAAGTAAGCGATACTTATTAATCGTTGTTCCGTACATTACCTCAATGCGCTAAGTAACTAAAGAGTAGTTGATGTGATTGGCGTGATCGTTACTACCTTTCCTCATCTACTGCTGAAAAAGAATACTTGTTTCAAGACGGGACAGTGGCATTTAGAAACCTAGAAATAGTCGATAGACTGTTGCATCGCATGTAATATTAATAAAATGATTTGTTCTCTTTCAAATGTCTGTCAGTGCATGCCTGAGTGGTTATCGCTATGGCGCCACCAGCGGCAGCAAACACTTTGAATAAAAACAAGTCCTTTATATCAGTTTTATTTTGTATAGCCCAAAGTGACATGTCGCTCTAAGAATTGATGATAAGTGTGTAATATCATTGTTGGTGACGTCATCTCAACTCAATGCGACAGACAAAACGACCACTGAAAATACCCCTTCTTATTCCGGCATCGATCCCAAGATGCAATTTGTTGTCGCCCTACTTCCGACCCCTACTACAGATGCAAATCAAACACATAATCGTTAGACGCACATCAAACATTAAAGATAAAATAACTTTTACTATTCGAAATATACCAATAAACAGACAGCACATATTCGTCATAGTAGAAATCGGGTAGATATAATCGGGTAGATCTACGCAGAAAATGACATGTTTGTATTTCTGCATTAAATGGGAAACGTATCCCATTAATATCTCTATGATAAGCTAAAATTTCATCGAAGACGAGAAAAATGAAATGTATAAACTTGGATACGTTGTTTATTACAATGTTCGTGAAATCTAAACAAATGCAATGTACTAGTAAATTGTATTATACCACTAAATAATAGGTACCCCTTAGTAATTTGTCATTATCGTGCACTTTCTTTAAGGTAGCAACAGGGGAAATCCCATCGTTTAGTTAAAATGATCTGAGCAACTCAAATCAAAGCATATTTATAGCAAACTATATATTTTATGGAAGCTGAAATATTCAGTAATTTGATAATTCATAGGGGTCATGTGACTGGGGATTAACTGGACCCTGTCAAAATAACAAATCAAAAAGTTTTAACCATTTGATTGGGGATTTTCAGAATAATTTTGCTGTGAAAGGTTCTTATAAAGTGTCGATGAACGTTTGTATGTGATTATTTTTCTAATAATTATCATAATAATTTCTTTAAAAAAATAAGTCACTAATGAAGCTCAGGGGTCATAAAACAAGAAAAAAAATGGCAGCAAAATTCTCCCCCGTCGACACTTTTATTGTTTGATATCTTGACAACACTTGGTGTTAATTTCAAGCGCGTATTATTATATTTATTGAATTTATTATTTATTTTAAAAATAATTATTTTATTTTAAAAAAGTGTCGCGAACGCCCACAATAAAGATTTAGTGTTATGTAGCGATAATTAAAGTAATACAAAATAAGATGTAAGTGAATAATAATAATAAAAAAAAACAATTACAAAATAATAAAAAGTATATAGAAAAAATAATATAGAATATAGAAAATGAAATTCATGCCGTACAATATATCAGATTTTAATCAGATTGCCGTAGTAACAATGTGTGTTGTCAGCTGTGACGTCAGCGATCGATCATTGTCAAGGCGACGTCCGTCTACGCTCGTCAACCTGTCTATTGTCCATGCAAATACCATGAATGATCGTGGCTACCGGTGAACTGGCGTCACAGGTACAATGTCCAACCACCTGAGATGGCTAGGAGATTGTTACTGTTCGATTTCTGTGTCTACGATAAAACAATAACCAATACACTATAATAATTATGCTTGACAATTATGTTAAATTATTTAGCTGTTAGTAAAACTAAAACCATTCCAAATTTTGCATTGTCCAACGTCTTCTTAACGACTTTTTAAGTGCGCCAGTAAAACAGCTACACTAAATCAGTTGATATACCAGTATGTAGTGTAATAACTGCGTTGCTAACGCAAACCAAGTCCGAGTCCATACTGACTTTAACTAGAAAGCGCGCACTCGCGCGGGACCAACTTTGCCAATTGTTGAGATCGGTGAACATCAACAAAACACTGTGCGTGAAATTATATCCGGACCAAACACAGTTGGCGCTGCGTGTGAGTGTATGTTACTACGCGTTAGAAACCTAGAGGCGTCTAATTCCCTAGCAACACCTCATTAATTATGCAATCCGTCGGCGACCTGTATGTACATTACGCCGGACGTATAGTTTTGGTGTGAGGGGTATTAATGGTGGCTTATTTGGCGGACTACTATATCTTGCTCCAATCTAAACCTCCACAATTCAGAGATGACGACGGGATCGAGACCGGTATGTATTCTCAGTACGCAGCAGTTGTAAGTGTTACATGTCTGGAGTTGAATCCAACAAGTGTTCGCCGCAGTATACCGGAAAGGTGGGATCAACTGTGTCCCCATTTGCGTTGATGTGTGTGCGCTCGCACTACGACAGTAGTTTCTGAGTGTAAAACCAAAATGATAGGTGTCGCGATTTCGGTGGTGCCATAAAGCTCCACAGTCGAACTACTAGTTCTGTAGTCTGCGCCTCGGTGTAGTCACGCATGCCGATCGGAGAATGAATGTCATCGCCAGCTCTGGGTCGTCAGCTAACACCTGCCATCTTGTTCTAGTTTGCGTACACAATATATGCATTCAGGCGTGAAGAGAGAGACAACGATTGCATGACAAAAATCGTGTTGTTTTGCAACCCACTATTTGATTCGTAATTACTTTGACAATGACATGATTCGAGTCTATCACGCTTGGAGAACTTTAAAGATGTGTTTATCCCTCAAATCGTTTCAATGTTGCACCGGCCGTATTTTGATTGCCAGCGGACTGACCGCGGTGCGCCTGAAATTGACCATGGCTCGTAACTGAGTTGGTTTTGTAAAACTGACAAAAAACCTAAACAAATAAACTTGTTGACCGTTGTACAAAGGATGAACACCTACTGTGCATGGCTATAGTATTGTGTGTGTTTATTTGCGCACTATTTGGGTTAGAGAACTTTCAATAAACAAACTGAATGTATGATCACTCGCACCTGCATGGCAAATTCGTTAACAATGAAACTCACCAATATAGCGAACCATAGGCGTATACGTACTAACTCCTTACAAAAACAAGTGTTTATCTTTTTGGGGAAAATTTTTTTCAGCATTTTTCTAACAGCAAGGCATGAGTGAAAATCGTTCTTAGTCTCCAACACAGGGTATTGTACGGCGTGCATTTTCTTTTTTAAATTTCATATATTTAATTTATTTTTATAATATTTCATTATTTTGTTGTTTTTTATTACATAAATACTTCACTCAGTTTTTTGCACATCTCTCCCCCCAAAAATACCACCCGCGAGATTTTAGGGTTGATCCTGGAACTCTAAGCTCAATAGTATAATTTGAAGTAGGTCTAGGACGAGCGTACTTGGCTATAACTATAAAACATGACATTTAATAAAACTGGCGTCCATCTTGGATATGCACTGTGGAATCATGGGACACTATTGTTCACTTTATTTTAAGATATTATTGATTTTTCTTTTGTTTTTCATGGCCTTTCACAAAATTATTTTTTTCTTCATCTTTTGATCAAGGTTTGTGGCCAAATTTGTCATGAGAATAGACGACTAGTAATTCACTATTCCTCTTGTGTGTTGTATTCAAATTGGATTCATCGTTTCAGGGGTATTGTCAGTTAAAGGCCCATGTCATTAATCTGTACAAAATTGACTTAGGAATTAAAATTCCCATAGAAAACAAAAGAAAAAATGAGAGTAAAACACAGCAGACAATCAGGATTATGACTGGGTCACCAGAAATGGGGCTTAAAAGAGACGAGCTATACTAAGAACGAACACATTAAGAGCTTTTGACAATTTATTGATAGTTTGCCAAGAAAATCTTGCTTTAAGCAAGCAACAAAATACTCATTTCTATGGAAACAAACATTCTGGTGGCCATTTTGAATTTAAACAAATCATCCAAATTAGGGTCATATCTGAAAAATGATTGTAATGTTCCCGGTATCAGTTTTGAGAAATAACCAGACAAGAATTTTGAGTAGTTCCTGCGTGAATGACTTCTTAAGGACATATATCAGGGTAGTATGACCTTCAAAAGAATTATACTGGCATTAAACTTGCCCTGTGATGAGCAGTGTCAACTCAAGTTGGGAAGTGATACCGTACACTGTAATGGCTATCATTAATTATATACCTAGGAGAAAACAATGAATATTTAAATAGGCAACTGTACTATAAATAGACACACTTTAGATTACTATATGGGATATTAAAAATGTAACTGGGACAGGGACAGGTTTGTCGACAAGGAAAGTGTTCTTGAAGTTTATTCTATTGAAAAGCAGATCAGATTAGGAAGGTCACAGCAAATCATATTTCAAATGTATTATTTATTGGATTTTAACTTCGCTGTTTTTGCTAATGCGTAAAATCCGCTAAATTGAATGCATGTAAAATAGCAATAGAATTCATTGATGTGAAATTGGTGAACTTAAAATAAGTGAAAATACTCAAAATGGTGAAAATAAACAATTTTATACAGTACTGTAAAATACTTTATTTTCGCTTGGAATTAATTTTCGCTCTTTTTGCTGAAGAGATGATTCAGTGAAAATAAAATCCAATGAATATAACTTTTTTCCTATATTTTACATACAACTCACCAAAAATCAGTGAAAATAAATTCTATACAAAACATCCAAAAAGTTTTTTCAGCGAAAATTAATTCCAGCTAAAGTATTTTACAATATTTAAAATTTTGTTTATACATTTATGTTTTTACGAAAAAGCATCAGTTGTCAATCAACAATTTTACGCATGTTGTATATGACACATGGGAACAATATGAACGCAACGAGACAGTAGTGCAATTATTTTATTATCTTAAAAAAAACACCTCAGTGTCAGTCACGATATAAATGGTTATATTAAGGAGAACAATGTGAATCTGTCACGTTTGGTATTCATTACATGAAACTACATCTCGTATTTTCATTAAAAGTTTATTAACTGTCGGCTAGACTGCCGCAAAGGGGGGAAATATCAACAGAATACGAGACAAAGGATGTTTATAATTGTAGCGACTCAACCGTTACACGTTTCAGTTTCAGTGAAAGGATAAACAAAATTGAAATTGAAATCATACTTTGAAGTGAACATATTTGTGTCCAACAGGAAATTGGAAACAGGAAATTAGACGAATAGCTTCCATCTAAGTATGGCTGCCGCTCACCTGCTGTTTAATTTCGCACAATTTTGGGTCTCTGTCGAATTTCAACCAAAACTTTAAGATAACAAATTCTGTTCGCGAGTCGTAATAGACACAAAATATGGAATAAAGGACAGTCATGACTATTGATGAGCTCATTAATATTGTAAAATACTTTATTTTAGCTGGAATTAATTTTCGCTGAAAAGTGTTTTTTTGGTGTTTTGTATGGAATTTATTTTCACTGATTTCTGACGAGTTGAATGTGATATATAGGAAAAAAGGTATATTCGCTGGGTTTTATTTTCACTGAATCATTCCTTCAGCGAAAATTAATTCCAAGCGAAAATTAAGTATTTCACGGTTTGTAAACGATCATTGAAGAAAAATAGCTGCCTGAAACTTATTTTTTGGTTATTTACATATTTTGTGATTTGTATTTTTCATTTTTCTCACACTGTTGTTGAACAGAGATAATAAATAATTTATTTATATATATATATATATATTTTTTTTTAATTCACTAACAATTAATGAAATTACAAAGCAAGACAATTAATACAAAAATAGAATTGAAAAACAATATTAGTTACATTATGCAGGTTTATTTCTTAAGAAGTGACAGAAGTTGGCTTTCAAACGTTCAAAAAATCAAATGAACATAACTTTGCCTTACATGTATATTAAAATTCACAGTAGAAACTACAATGACCCAAACGATAGAAGTACCAGTGTTTTATATCTATTCAATAAAACCTGCTTTGTTTTGTAGAATTTTTTGAATGAACTACAAATCACCCTCCGTAGCCATGGTAACATTTTACATAAATAGAGACACTGACTTTGTAAATACCATATGTAAATATGATCAAATCTTTATCTTTCACAATATAGCAATTAGACAAACATAAATAGTTCTATCACGTTAACAAACAGAACAAATATACAAGTTGGTCGTCAATTTAATGTTTTTGCTTCAGTAAATTCAAATCAAAGTCTTTCATTTGCAATGATCGTGGCTTGGAGAATTAGCAGCCGCGAGTTTCATATCAAGCCATTTCTTAGAGAAAAGATATATCCGGTAGTTGTACCGGTATATTTTGTGTGACCTGTATTTTCGTCGTAGGGTTCCTGACTAGTATAACTGTTCATCACCTGTGCAGGATTTCAGTGCAATGTATTTTTTTTTGCAAAGCTGAAGCTTAATAAAATTATAAAAAATAAAATAACTTTCACATAAAAAAATAATTAATTTATCTTTCTATTTTGGCAAATGAATCTGGTCTACACAACGCTATGTGATTGGTCAGTTTACATTCACCAAGGTGTTTACTAAATATGGAGTAAAGAATTCCATATAAGGCAATATTGTAGACATGTTCTTTTTCTTTTGATGTTGAATGAAGTAGTAAACTTGTTGCTATTTTCATTGTAGATGTTTATGCACTGGAAGGTGCCGACAAGACTGATTAAAGACAAACCTGAATACCGTGCACAGCAACAGTCTCTAATTAAGGACAGTCACCAGCATTTCTATGAAGATATCAATGGAAAAAGACAATGTAAGTTTCAAGACATTCACAAGTTATTGTAAACTACTGTAAACAACTTTATTTGAGCTGCAGTTAATTTTTGCTGAAAAGACTTTTCATGTGTTTTGTATTTTCACTGATCTTTGATGAGTTGAATGTAAAATACATAAAAGAGGTATATTTGCTGGATTTTAATTTTACTGAATCATCCCTTCAGCGAAAAAAAAAATTCCAAGGGAGAATAAAGTATATTTACAGTATTTCATTTTTGCTGCTAGAAATGTTTGCGATTTGAAGGTTTTAAGGTGTTTTGCATTTTGCAAAAGTCACTGCAACCTTGTTTTTTGGTCATCGGTAAAATGTTCACTGAAATATTAAAAAATTTAGGAAAAAACAAGATTCTTGGAGGAAGGAGTAGAACAACCAAACGACTGGTGGTGGGAATCACACAGTATTTTTTTATCTGATGTTTGTTGTTCATGTTTGATCAGGTAACAGTGCATTGACATTAATGTGGGAGTGGTTCTTTGGTAAGATGTTTAAGTAATCAAAGACGATAATGTCAAATAAACACCAATATTTATTTATTGACCTCAAGTACTGCCTTGGATGTTGTCCAAAGAAAATGTTTGTTTTACGACAGTGTTTGATTATTAACCATCGTTAACTGCCATAAACCAATAGCCACTATTTTAATTGACTCATACTAGAACTAACTACTACTTTGACATAAAATTGTGACTAGTTAAAGGGCGGTGGTCGTCGCGCCGCGTCCTGTTCGATAAGAGACTCATAGCGACGTATATAACGCATGTAAAATACATTGTTTATTTACATGAAATTCGAACACGCGCTTGACGACCACCGCGCTTTAATAATTAATCACTAGCAGGGTTAGCAATTGTGACAAAAATCAGAAATCACTTACAATATTTTTGATTTTGTTCTCATGAGATAAATACAACGCATGTAAAACACATTGTTTGTTAGCACTACTGTATTTGCTCTATTAGAAAGTCATTTAAAAATGTCCTTTTACTTCATATAAAATCATTAAAATACAACGTATTTTGACTATAGTCATTTCACTCATTTACATATGCACTACTAATAGAGCACACATGGTATATTGTTATGCTACAGCTGTGTCACTTTAACTACCAACCATTGCATGGTTTACCACTATAGTTACTAGTTACAATGATGGATAGACAGTAAGCGAATTGTAAACAGTTATTAAAATAAAATCATGTGATTCAATTCAGCTGTGTGATCAATACATACATTTCATGTTTGTGAACAACAACACAAATTTTCTAATAACATGATATATGTATGGCCAACTGTGATATGATACAGATTATACACAATGTTGTTGTCATAGGGATGGATTACTTATATAATATGTTGTTGTCATAGGAATTGATTATTTCTAGTCTTTAATCCGAATGAATCATACTTGACAAAAGATCACTTGGTGTCATCTTTATTTACGCTAACATTCTAGAATGATCATTATCATTAACGTTTTTTATTTCTAAAAGGTTATTTATAGCGTGTCTATGTCCATTAATTTATTTTAATTAAATAAGAATTTTTATTTGTTTAAAATCTTTAATGCCATATTTGTCCAGCTGAAAATTTGGAGGAACAATTTTAATGAATTTTTCGATAATTTTTTTGTTAATTGAAAATAAAAATTTAGCTGAAAATTAGGCAAAAAAACCAAATAATATGCAAAGTAGCTCCCTCTCGAAGTTTCTAATAATCAACTCCTTTCACCACCAGACTTTCCAGAATTTTTCTGCACTTTTTTATTATATTCTTCAATATTTCTGGAAATGAACCCCAATTTTGGACCCAACAGACATAATTTGAGTCAATTTCAGTTTCTGTGTCTATTTTTCTCTCAATCTTGTAAATGAAGTGCGGACTATAAACTATTTTGTAAATTTGTGATGAAAAGAGGGAACTAGTGGTGAAAAGGTAAAAAAGAAATGTTTCTTTTAAGGTAGAAGCCTACCGGTAGTCATAATTTTTGACAAAATTGGTCACAAATCACATGACAATGTTCATTAGTTTATTATGTACAAACATAAAGCTAATGTCTCATGATACAATGAAATAGCATTATTTTGTGTGTTACAGTTATTCTTTTTGAGAAACGTGTCCTAATATTTCTTGAAAATTGCTATTTTTAGAACACAATGTTAAAGAAAAATTGCATTGTTTGACACCTTTCAAAACCCAGATTTTTTAAATAATTCAGAACAACAACAAGTACTCCATCATTAACAATATATGATTTTTTCAGCCTATGTCACCAGGCTAAATTTTGAGATATTGCATAATATCTCTGCCATAGAAACCTATGGTAAAAGTGTTATAATAGTGTCAAAATGGCGACTTTCCACTAAAATACAACCATCAATTTCTCGAAAAAAAGGCTGGTGACCCCCAACTTTTTTTAGGTCAATATCCTTATATTGCCTTGGAGTACATTTTATTACAAAATGAATAAATTCTGGGGTTTTTAATTTATGAGTAGGCTTCTACCAGTGCTTTCCTGTAGTTAACTGGGTTTTAATTTTGCTGTTTTCGCTGATAAGTTAAATTCTATAAATTAAATCCATGTGAAATACTTATGAACTTAAAACCAAGTGAATATGCTCAAAATGTCAAAATCTTGAAGTTAAATGCGAGAGAAAATCAATGTTAGACAGTATTTGTATTAACTAAAATGTTTACTCTGTGAAAGTGGAACAGCGGAACAGGGCTGAAGTTTGCGACCACGTACTAAATGAACCATGACAGTTTGTGCCTGTGATTAGTGTATTCGTCTGTTCTCTTTACCTGCGTATAATACGATCACCAAAAGAACGGTAACGAACAATGTCTAAAGCATATGAGCAATACATAGGGGGGGGGGGGCTAACAATGTACACTGTACTGTAACGTGCCTTGTTACAATGTCTTCAAACGTAAAGCAATGGTTGTCAACACAATTGAAATGAAGCTTTCAATAGTCAGTAACAGATCCTCGATAACAATAGGAAACATTCGCAACCCATATCGACATATTGTGTTGTTGACTTCCATGAGAGCAGTTAATTGTTCGAGGGCAACGACGATTTCACAATGCTGTCGTGTTGAAAGGGAGAAAAGTCTGAGTTGTTGGTAACTAGGCATAGTGTATTTACATGGTCTTTTCAGTTCAAAGAGCCGGTGTGGAGTGGCAGTTGTGGCTTCAAGTTATTGCTAGTAACTGAGAAACAATTTCTTATCCATCCTAGCAACATTCACTGCTTTTATATCCCTGATTTAGAAAGTGCCCATACTGTGGATTTCTTAACTTTCTCCATTAAATAATGGCCATTATTACGAAAACTGAACAGCTCAAAAAATCAACATACAAGTAACTTTGAAAAAAAAAAAATCCCCACAATAAAATGAAAATCCCATGTGTTTGTTGTTGTTTTCTTGGATCTGTTTTTATTTATTTTGGAAGTACCGGTAGGACACTGGTGATTCCTTTGCAGACATTATAGACAGTGTATTAAAATAAAATGCAAGGTTAATGATAAAGGCCATAGTGCCTGTTCTAAGCAGTCAGGCCATGGCGCAAAAAAATTCCAACAAATAATCATGGTTACAGATAATAATAATAATAATAATAATAATAATAAATATCTTTATTGCATTCGTATCCCTATTAGGATTTTGAATAAAATGCAATACAGATGTGAATAAAGACAAACAAACAATTAAAGTGAGAATAAAAATACACACAAAAAAATAAAAAAAAACTGACAAACAAATAAAAGTATAAAAAAAAAATATAATGGTAAAATAAATGGGATTGGTTTTCCATATTTGTGTTGGTGAATCTAATGCATGCATGCATGTACAATTTGTATAGTGTTTAATTTTTACAGTACAGTACAGGTAATACTTTAGCGTTTATTGTTTTGATACGACCTACTATAAGTCTATAACCTTTGCTGTCTTATTTTTACGTTTGATTTCAAGCATAATGCGGGATCTTGCAGTGACCGAAAAACGGTCTATTGCGTATGAAACAATTAATGGTCACAGCCAGCCAGTTCTATTTAACGTACTTCTAACACCCGATCGTCTTCTTATTGCAGTCACCAATGTGGAGAACGATGTGTTGAAATACACAGACGAGATGTACAAGAATGCTGGGGGATGGAAAGAACCAACTAAACATGTCCGTAGTTCAATGACGTCCACCACGCATCATAGCCCTCCATATCATATGTTTCCTCAAAGCCGTGGCAAAGATTATGTTTCCCAGTCAGCTGTTCTGCCAAGAGGGACAGTCAACCCAGGTAAATATCAGTCAACATACTGAGTACGGTAATATTTTGATTAAAACAAAAACAAATTTGGAACAAGTGTGTGTATAACTGTGACTGTGTTTGTCATATTTGTTGCTATTTTAATTTTTGTTTACTTGTTTATTTATCCAAATCGAGCGTCTTCGTGAATAATTATTCGCATTATGTGGTATATAACGCTTAGTGAAATTATTGAAAAGTAATGCTATTATGACGCTATAACTGTATTTGCTCTATTTTCAAATACATGTCAGAATATTCGGAATGCTTATAATCTTTCAATCCATAAATAAGATATTTTAGATAACAAATTGCTGATGTGTAAACAGCTTGGAAGCCTTTTTTTATACAGTTGAGTGTCTAATGAATATTTTGTTACCATAGATGTAGTTCTTATATAATACAATGAACTGTAATAGTAAAACCCCGCAGTTAAGTGGTCCGCTCACAACTATTTATTTTCACTTTCTGATGAAAAAAAAAAGACTAAAAAAATCATTTTTATTTTAATATTGGATTACAATTTTTAAAAATATGTGACATGAGAAAAAGATGGGCGTATTTCATCTAACCAATAAAATATATATTGAGTTTTAATTGCATTTAGCTTAATTTAATTCTATTGAAATTATTTGAAATCAAATTTTAGATTTTCTCAGATTATACAGTAAGCCTACCTGTTATGTTAAAGAAACACACCTACAAAACAAAATTCTTCTAGCAATAATTTGAATAAAAAGTGCTAAAAAATTTTGACCTTGGATTAAAAGAAATATATGATTTCTTCAAATAGAATTACCAATTTCTTTAGCCTTTTGTAGTCATAAATACTTCCTTAAGGTCACTCTAAACTTGGTAGACGAAAAACTGTACATGGCTTGTATCAGAGGTTATTTTAAATTTTATCATTTGAGTTGAAATGTAGTACTACAAATGTTCCAATAGGTTTCTTTGTTAACGTCTGTCTTTTCATATCAACTTTTGACCTTTTGAACCCTAGAAGTCAACTTTTGTCACCTTTCATCACAAAATCTGCATAATTATTTCACGAGGACCTGTAGTCAAAGTGGTTTATTTCAATAAATTTTTGATCAAAACTGGTAAAATTTAAGCAATATACTTGTCGCAGCATGTTTTGTTTGTTATCTCATGAATCAAATAAATCTCAGATAAAATACACCCGAAATACGATGTGCGACATCTTCGAAGTTTCAAATATTTTTATTTGTTGTGTTCTTTGTACTGTATTGAAAGAAAGAATAATGACGACCCTAAAGAAATTTTGGTAAATTTTAAATACATAGAAAGTATGTTGTTGCGGGTGTCAATATGACAATTAACACAAGGCAAACTTTACAAAGAACAAGCAGCCTCTCGGCTGAGATAGCTCCGCTGTTAGCAATGCACATTTCAATTAATGAACAGAAAGTATCATTAAAAAATTAACAATATGTATAGTATCAAAACAATCAGACTTGCGGTTTTCAACAGGATGTGGAAAATATCACTTTTTACCAAAAATTACAAAAATATTCATCAAAATTAGAGAATTAAAGATATCATCATGAAATGAACAAATCTGAGTTAGAACCACATGTAGTACCTATATATGAAATATCAAAGCAATTGGACTTGAGGTTTTTAACAAGAAGTCGAAAATATCACTTTTTACCAAAAATGACAAAAATATTCACCAAAATTAGAGAATTAAAGATATCATTACAAAATGAACAAATCTGAGAGAGGTCTACATGTAGTACCTACATATGTAATATCAAAGCAATTGGACTTGCGGTTTTTAACAAGAAGTCAAAAATATCACTTTTTACCAAAAATGACAAAAATATTCACCAAAATTAGAGAATTGAAGATATGATCATGAAATGAACAAATCTGAGACACCCAATCTGAAACACCCAAGGTACATATACACCAAATATCAAAGCATTCAGGCTTGTAGTTTTCAAGAAGAAGTCGAAAAAGTAAAACATTGACACGGACGATGACGGACAATCACTCATATGATAAGCTCCGCTCGACAAAGGCGACAGCGGAGCTAAAAACGGGTTTTTTATTTCACAGAACGGAAGAGGAGATGTTGCTCCTTCACTGGCTTGGTACAATCTGCCTTTTAGTTTACTCTAGCTGTCTATTGTTTCAACATTCTGTTTACCTCGTTACATAACAAAGTGACTCACAAGTTTGTACTACACATGTTCTACCAAGGTTATTATTAAATTCACTAAGCTAAAATGATCTCACATACACTCGTGAGTAAATTCACAGGTAATACAGGCTAATACTTGTGCCAAATTATAACAATATATTTAACGTATTTTAACGTAACTGACATAACTTTTATTTATTTTATTTTTTTTAATTTATTTATTAACACACAACACCCCCTCCCCTGGAGGGGATGAAAAGGGTTACAAATCAAATATTAGTAAAAGAAAAATAACTACATAAAAAGTAAGGGAACAAAAAAGCATTAAAAAAAAGAAAGTTAAATTTGTATACAAGGAATGTGTTACTGGCTTAGTTTATGTAGGTGCTGCTGTCTTGTATTAAAACAGTTTTTTAAATATTGCGCTAAAGGAATTGACATTTTCTCGTTACTTAGTAATGATATGAATTTATTTTCATTACTAAATTTGTCAAAATTTGGTATACATTTATTAGCTACAATGTAAAGTTTTGATCTTATTTCGTTGTAATGAGGACAATTTATGACAAAATGTTGTTCATCTTCAACATGGTCATTGTCGCACATATTGCAGACTCTGTCTTTAAAATCCAAACCTATATGCCGGCCTGTTTCAATTTTCAGGCAGTGGTTGCCAAGTCTAAATTTTGTTAAGGATTTGCGAAGTTCATTGTTTTTCATAATTGTTAAGTAGTTTTCTTGTTCAATTTTGGTTTTAAAAAGTTTGTAGGTTCTTAGTTTAATAAATAAATTATCGTCAGCAGTCCCTGACTGCCCAACCTTATTCTCTGTCTATCGCTTCTTTGACTTAGCCTAGTTTTGACAGTCATTTAATGGGTATTTATTTATTATCAATCACTACTGATGAGATCAGTGGGTTGCCCCTTCGACAAGAGGTGGTGGAAATGTCAAAGGTGAATAGTGAAGTCAGAATGGCTGGATTAAAGGCTTACATATGTATCATGTATGTATTATTAAGTTTGAATGTCTGAGATACAGATGTGGACGGACACGCATGGATGCATGAACATTGTATTTTTAAGAGATTACCCCTATTCAACATTATAACATTTCACTGTTGTTACACGTGCCATGATTGGTTGAAACTTCTGAACAAGCAGCC